GCAAGGTCCATCACCGTGCTCTGTTCCTGCAGCACACCTGGGTCAGCACCACCCTCGTAAGATCTGTGCACTCTGATACTTCCTGTTGATTTTAAAATGAAGCTGTACTGAATGTTTGAATGCAGTTCACTTCTTCAGATCTTAAATATGGTATAAAACATGTTAATAGAACCTGATGGACAATGAAATGGCATGCTTTTTAATAGTGTGTGTGGCAGGTTTTACCTGCATTGTGGGAAGGATAGCATATCACATTAAAACACTTAGGAAGGGGCTAAATAAACACTGCATATCGTCTTAATGAAAATCTAAACATGCAGAATGTTTTGTGTGACGGTGAGGTTTAGGGGTATGGGATAGAAAATTTCATTAGCTCAGTAAAAAAGTAATAACATTTGATGGAGAATCTCAGTTCATGTAAGGTATCACTCACTGTATGTGCAGCCATAGACCTCTAGCCGTAGACCCATTCCTCCTTTGGGGCTTCCCTCAAGGGGCAAAATACGCATATATCGAGTTCTGATTGAGTGAGGGAGTTTGTGTTGGACCACTGTGTCTGTGTCACTGTTTCCTATAAATATCTGTAAATATATGCACAGGCACACAAAAACACACATATACAGTGATATTGGTCAGGTAGTCCTTACCAGATACTATGTTAATATTAAAATCAAAAGTATTAGGTAAACTACCATTGAAAAGTTTGGGGTTGGTAAGTTGTTTTTGAAAGCTACCATTACTACGGTCTTCAGTATCACATGATCCTTTAGAAATCATTCTAATATTCTGATGTGCTGCTCAAGAAATCCTGCACTGCTTCATATTTCTATGGAAACAGTGATGCATTTATTGAAATAGAATGCTTTCTTAACATTATAAATGTCTTGACCCCAACTTGACCCCAAAAATTGACCTGCATAAAAGACTAGAATACATTTCCATTCTGCCGACCAAATAATTTTTTCCCCCCAAAATTCAAACAGTCAAGTAAAACAAATGTGTGTTTTCAACATGGTTCAGTGACAGTTTATTAAAGGCTCTTGAACAGAACAGCTGCCATGCTAACCAGGCCCTGCAGACACCATTTAGCAAACAATGCTTTGTACGATGCAAACATTATATTAGCACAAATGATCCACTCTTCTTTGCTCCCCAGTGATGATGAAATGAGACTAAATGGTTTTCTGATGAGTTCTGACCTTCTCAGTCTTTCATCTGTGTGCTGATTCATCTCTGGTGGGGTGTTTTGTTTTGTCATTTTTATTAAAGGATCCTTGAAAATAAATCACTCCCCGAGCTTTTAGGGGGGAAGTTGCCAAATGATTTTTGGAAGATGGCGGCCAGTCTGTTTGTCTTTCACAGAGCTAACGCATGCCGACAGCATACAAACCAGAATAAACTAATTTCCTTCATCTTGTCTGCATCATTAAAGTTAATAAAAGATCAAGGGTGTGATGAAACAATGGGAAAGTATGAGAAAACTTATATAGAGAGAAAAATCTCTCTTTTTTTCTGAGGGAGAGAGTGACTGGAATGTTTGCTCATTGCCAAGTGAATTTTAAGCCCTTGCTCACAGACTGTGAGCATGAATAAACCTCTGACTAACGGTTGACAAGCTTCTAGCATGACTGAGGGGGTGGTGATATTTCATATATCATTAAATATCATGTAAACTGACCTATTCAATGATCTACTTATTAAAATACACAAATTAAAATAATGCCATAATTCTGCCAGAAAGGTGAAAGGAGCTGATATAAACATACATATACATATATATATATATATATATACATACATACATACATACATACACACACACACACATTTTAGGGGTGTAACGGTTCACGTATTTGTACCGAACATTTTCGGTATGGGTCTTTCGGTTCGGTTACTGAACAAATACAGCATTGTTTTAACCACTGCACTGGAAACTTCCAGTTTTATTTATTGTTACTTTTAATAAGAAACAAAGTCTCATCTATCAAATTATGTCCTTTTTTCAGGAAATTCAAACAATAAATGCCGTTTTGGCGCTCTTTGATGTGACGCGACAGATCGCTGTAGCGCTTCAGTTCAAACGGCAGCAATCATCCCTTCCTCTTTACTACTAATTTTAACATGAAATAAACACGAATGAACATCTCACACCTAATGTAATCACTCAATCAGTGTTTCAACCGTGGAAAGATGTCAATAAAACAGCTTGTAAACAAAATGTCATTTATATATATAATATATATAATTTATATATATATAATATCTATAATTTATTTATTTTTCCTTCACATTTCTTCTTAATGCCTAATTAGAAGCTAATACAAAGTGACTGGTTTTAATCTTTGTGGACTGTTGTCTTTGAGGCTGTTGAACTTGATATTAATAATTAATTTAGTGAGAAAACAGCTGTGGAAAAACAAAAATCACAGACGCAAAGAAAATGGAGGGGAAATGGAAAATAAGCTAGGATGATGAAATTATTTATATAATGTAAAAGCAGAAATATGTCTCAGAATTATTACAGGCAGCAATCCTTAAGCAGACGGTCTACTAATACGCTACTAACTGCTAGTTGACATGTAGTTGCAAAGTTACTTACTGTTAATAGAATGTCTAAAGTGGACTATCGAAATAAAGTGTTACCATAATTAATTTAGTGAGAAAACAGCTGTGGAAAAACAAAAATCACAGACGCAAAGAAAATGGAGGGGAAATGGAAAATAAGCTAGGATGATGAAATTATTTATATAATGTAAAAGCAGAAATATGTCTCAGAATTATTACAGGCAGCAATCAGAATAAAATGTGTTCTCCTAGAGATCACTGAAAGAGGGAATTATTAGAATTCTGGTTAGTTTCTTTAAACCTTACACTGAATTTCTGCTATGATTTTTCTTCAGAGAAAAAGCTTTAACATGTCACTTTTTATAGAATCTCAGCAATCTCTGGAAAAGCCAGTCCTATACTTCTTTACTCAATTTAATGTAATTTTGGATGCTGGAAGATTGTGTCTGAATGACCTACATGGATGACCAATTTTGACATACCTTCAGATATTTCCACAATAACTTCCTTAGTATCATCTCATATGTGTTCAAAAATTTACACAGGAGACTAAGCATGAAAAAACAGTGCAACACAAAAATTCTATCCATAATTCAACAATGCTCTATTTATGTTTTATTCAGAGAAGAAGGGAATAATACAGTGCTTTTTGAACTTCCCCCAACATCCCAGTGAAAAATGACAGGAAAACTTAATTTGCAAGTGATTCACCTTCTCAACTCAAGGACGAAGGGGTAGTTGTTTAATCCTTGTACTGAACAATCGGTGTAGTTCCCCTTCAGGAACTCGAGCTGCGTCGAAACGCTACGGGAACGCCTCCAGCATGACCATGCTCTGAATCACATGTGTAATCAGTCCAATGGATGGGCGGGACGTCACGGGCGGGGTGATGTAGCGACCAGGAAGCATAAAAGCACGTGGGGTGAAACCGGCGTCAGCTTTCTGTCATTCAGCAAGCGCTCTGTGTGTGTCAGTCTTATTTGGTGTTGTCTGTCCATTATCACTCTTTATTTTACCAATACGAGTGTAGACAAACATGCGGCGAGAGCGGGCAGCATCTCAGGCTGTGTGTTCTTCCCTGCCCGCGCTACATTTCGGGTGGTGATACACACAGTTTGTGTGTTGTCTGCTTGAGAGCAAAAACACGCAGAGACAGCTCTCGAGGGAGAGCTGCGGTTCTTTCCCCCCGTTGAGAGGGCTCGACGCTCCGCCTGTCTTCCTCCGAGGAGGTTGATGAGGGCGTCGATGAGCTCGCCAGTTGCACAAGCAGCAGTTACACAAGCACATTATGCCTAACATTATAATGAGCAGCTTTACTGTGGACACAAGCATTATGTCTATACTATTATGAGCCACATTTACTGGGGAGCGGAGCTCGCGCAGTCAGCTCTCGGAAATTAGGGGCTGATTGTGCTTCTCCCCGATGAACGCTCCGCTCCTGCCGGGCGTGTCCGTGCTTGCGAGCTCACGGTTCGGTCCCGCTATTTCTGAGGCACAGCGGCGATTCAGATAGTGGGGATCTGCACGCTGCTGTGGCTATTTTCTCAGAGGAGATTGATATTGTTTGTGTGACCAAGTGGCTCGCGCTCTGCCGAGGCAACGCGTGTGTTACATCATTTTCAGTTTTTGATGTGAATCTTACCACAACAGGACCGTGTTTACTCATTTGGTTGTTTGGCTGCATTTAATTGAGGAATTAAATTAAGTATTTATCTGACTATGAGAAATTAGATATATCATTTCTATTTTTGATATGAAGCCTATCACACCAGACCGTGTTTACTCGTCTGGTTGTTTGGCTGCATTTAATTGAGGAATTAAATTAAGTATTTATCTGACTATGAGAAATTAGATATATCATTTTCGATTTTTTAAATGAATCTTATCACACCAGACCGTGTTTACTCGTCTGGTTGTTTGATTGCATTTGATTCTGAGGAATAAAATTAAGTATTTGTCTGACTGTGAGAAGTTAGATATACCGGGGCTCTTGGGATAAAAATTTCTTGGGTAAGAGCACGTGTTTACCACTCTTCCTCTGAGGAGGTTGAGGCGGTCAGCAAGGGCTGCTGGGCGGGAGAAGTCCCAACCTACCGTGTTCCAGCTCCTCATTCTGCCGGTTCGCCGCTTCAGGGCACCGAGCTAGCCGCTCTAAGTGCACCAGAGGCCAGTCTCTTGAGACTGGTTCCCTTAGTATGTCATCTGGCGGTGTGGGAGCCCCTGCCATGCGTGCCTCCTTGGGTCCTGCCCTGAGCAGGCTCTGGTTCTATCAGTTGAGTCTTCCTAGCAGATGATGCGGGTCTGAGGACCGTCATTTTTAGAGAAGATTTCAGCTATGAGGGTGCTGATGCTATGGCTCAGGACCTCGGAGGGCAGGCCCTTCTGGGGAAGAGCGGTGCACACCGCATCACACGGTGGCCGTCTCTCCTCAGTGCCCTCAGGAGATCAGTCTGCCAACCCTGCCGGTGTTCCAGGGTGCAGCGATCTCCGACAAGCGCTTCTCTCAGTTACCACCCGGAAATGTAGCGGTGCTAAGAGGCTTGCGATCTCCACGGAGGTCTCTAGAGCAGCTAGTAGGGCCGTCCCCTGCCAGTTCGCCGCTTCAGGCCACCGACCTAGCCGCTCTGAGTACAGTCTCGAGAGACTGATTCCCTTAGTAGACTAATGTGTCTCGGTGGGTCCTGCACATTGTAGAGTGAGGCTATAGAATCCAGTTCTCCTCCGCCTCGGTTTAAACGGGGTCATCCCCACTATGGTGGGTCCCAAGCAGGCTCTGGTCATGGAATAAACGGGGTCATCCCCACTATGGTGGGTCCCAAGCAGGCTCTGGTCATGGAACAGAAGTAGTTACTCTTTTGAGGAAGGAGACCATCGAGGTGGTCCCTCCTCACATAGCAGAGTCCGGGTTCTACAGTCGGTACTTCACCATTCCGAGGAAGGATGGTGGGTGGCGTCCTATTTTAGATTTGCGTCATTTGAATCGCTCAGTCAGGCAACTAAAGTTCAGCACGCTCGC